AAATAACGACAAATATGACTACATGAACTACTCCAACATATTATCACTACACATGGTGACTATTTTTTTTGTTGAACTGTCAGGTTAATTTTTAACTTTTTACATATTAAAACAGTTGAATCACGTCAAGATCTGCAGAAGACTCTGCATGGCAACATGGGGTCAGACTTGATCCCAACAAAAAAGACAAAATTATTTGTAATTACTGCCAAAGAGTGATAAGTAGTGGGGTACATAGGTTTAAGCAACACTTGGCAGGGGTTAAGGGAGATGTTTCTGTATGCAGTATGGTCCCTAGTTATGTAAAAAAACAGATGGCGGCAATTCTTAATGCTAATAAAAGTAAAAAAATTGCCAAACATAGGATGAATGAAGAGATAGCTAGTTTATATACGCCATCGAGCAAGAATGATACAGAAGAGCAATATAATAATGACCTAGAAGAGCAATATAATAATGACCTGGACATGGTCACAAGATTGAGTTTACATGAACAATATCAGAGGGAATATGGGTTTAGAATGCCCGGTGGGTCTAGCTCAGACATGCATGGTGGGTCTAGCTCAGACATGTATGGCGGGCTCAGCTTAGACATGTATGGAGGGCCCAGCTTAGACATGCATGACGGGCCCAGGTCGAGCATGTATGGCGGGCCCAGCTTAGACATGCATGACGGGCCCAGGTCGAGCATGTATGGCGGGCCCAACTCAAATATGTATGGACGCGTTGGTGGCAGTATGTGTCAACAAGAATCAAACGTTGAAGAAATAGTTCTTAACTTATCTAGGAGTGTCAGTATTGCAGGTTATGGGCGTATAAACCCATTTATCTTAAAGCGTAAGTCACAACAGATGACCCTAAAAGGCATGGTTAAAGGTACAAAAAACATGTTGGGGAGATATGTTGGTAAATGGTTCTACGATAAAAGGATTCCCTTTGATGCAGCTAATAGCCCATATTTTCCACTTATGGTCAGTGCAATCCAGAGAGCAGGGCCCGGGGTAAAACCCCTGACGGCATATGAGCTCAGTGGGCCAATATTAGATGAAGAGGTGGATGAAGTTACTAAGTGGATTGAAGAATATAAACAGAGTTGGCCAAGGACAGGCATTACTCTCATGAGTGATGGTTGGTTGAATAAAGTTAGTAAAAATGAGTTTTTAAACTTCTTGGCCTATTCTCCAAAAGGTACAACTTTTTTGTCTAGCAAAGACGTATCAGGAACGAAGAAGGATGCAAACTTCTACGTACGACTATATGATCAGATAGTGAAGCAGGTAGGAGATAAGCATGTAGTCCAGTTTATTAAGGACAATGTGTGTGCATGTGTTTCTGCAGGCAGAAAGTTAATGGACAAGAGGAAGCATCTAGTATGGACGTTGTGTGCTGCACACAGCATCGATCTTATGTTAGAGGAGATCGGTGAGATCAAAATTATGAATGAGACTCTAAATGAAGCAAGGTTGGTGTCGAGATTTATATACAACCAATCTAAAATATTATTTCTGTTTAGAGAATACTCTAAGAAAAAAGAGATAATCAGGCCTGCCATAACCCGCTTTGCGACCGATTACTTAGCTGTGGACTCCATTCGGGAATCTTAAGGTGCATTAAAGAAATTGTTTACCTGTGAAGAGTGGTTAAATGACCGCCTCTCAAAGTCCAGTACCGGTATAAAAGTGGACAGCATAGTCTCAAATAGGAGGTTCTGGTCTCAATGTTCCAGTGTCGTAGAGGCCACTGCCCCTTTGGTCACGGTGTTAAGAATGGTGGATGCTGACAAGAAAGCTATCATAGGCATCCTTTATGAAGGTATCGAAAGAGCGAAATCAACTGTTGGGGAGAAGTGTAGTTTTGCTAGCAAAGTGATCAAGATTATAGAACGGAGGTGGAACACCAAATTTGGACGTCCAATTCATTATGCAGGTAAATATATATTTATATCATTAGAATGTTTCATTGTAAATTATTTTTTTATGAAATTTTAAATGACATTTATCTATCGATATATTTTTCAGGTTACTTCTTCAACCCAAAATTTTTCTATTTGACACCTGAACATTCCCACAAGATTATGGAAGGGGTCAGATACATTATTGCCAGGTTGGAGAGAAGCCATCGAAACCAGGTAGCAGCAGTACAAGAGGTATTATTTAATGTTTGGGTAAGAACTTTATTGAGTTGTTATATTTGTGAGGAATAATGCACTAAAACGAAATATATTTATTTTAGCTTGCTATGTATAGGAATGCTATAGGATCCTTCGGAACTAGACTTGCCAGGAATTCTCGAACTAAGATGGATTCAGGTTATCCCCTAGCTAATATTTTGTTCATTCATATATTTAATCTTATGAATTGTTCTTGCCCTTACAATGCTTTTTGCATTTTAATACAGTTGAATGGTGGGAGATATATGGTACTGATGCACCTCACATAAAGAGGATATCAATCAAGGTGTTCTACCAGACATGTTCTGCTACTGGCTGTGAGCGCAATCAGAGTACTTTCCAATGGTTGCACACTACTAGGAGAAATCGACTCTCTTCGGAGAAGCTTCATAAACTAGTCTACGTTCATTACAACTTAAACCTCCGAGAGCGACAAATAAGAAGGAAGCTTGAAGACTATGGGCCGATAGACTTAGATACAATATTTGTCACAGACACAGCAGACCAATGGGTAGTAGAAGAGGAGGAGCAAATGTTGCACAAGAGAACGTTCCTTGAGGCTATCGGTGAGGAAGATCTTGAAGAAGGTGATGAGCAGCATGAAAGATGAAGCAGTCAGCCAACGTATCCACAATTCGTCGGAGATGTCGGTGATATTGCACCTAATGAGGGAGAGTGGGAAGGAGGTCTAAGGGAAAATGAGCGAGATGATGATTCTGAGGCCACCCTATCCCAGGCATATTATTCACATATCGAGTCCCAACAGCAACAGGGTAGGGATGAGCACGACCGTGTAGGTGAGCATGAATGATGGATAAGCTTCGGGGATTTTGGATTGGGAACACAACAGAACACTCAAGGATTTGGATATAGTCAGAAGCCTGCTAATAGCGATGATTCGTTTTTAGATCGAATCAATGAATTGTCAAACGAATTCAATCAATGGCACTAGCGTGACCAAGAAGAAGAACGACGACGTCTGTCATTTTTTTTTAGATTGTATGTTACTAATTGTATGTTTTATTGTAGTCCATGTATGTTGATATATTTATTCCATGATAATTCTATGTTTATCCTTTTGTGTGACGTAAATTAAATAGTAAATAGTTGTTCATGCAGGGAAAGAACATATCAATATTCACATATTCATGCAAAGAAATGAAATTTCTTAATGGAATACCCTCATTTTTTATTGAATTCCTAAAAAACAATATTTATAATGAATTTTAATAATTTTTTCGGATTTTTTTGAAGCTTTAATCTGACCGATTCACCCGATTCCCGATCCGAATCGCCGATTCGCCGATCCGGATCGGTTTTTGAGGTGCCCGATCCAGGTCACCGATCCGCTTTTTAAACCATTGGCGCTAATATATCGGATTAGGCTAAAAAAATCGGAGTAAGAAAATCGAATAAATTTATAAAATGAGAAATTTTAAAATTCTAAACAGTAATAATTATGTCAAAGCTATCAATAACTAATGGCTGCAGTTTGCATACGGATGTATCTGTAGGAGTAGAAGTACGGTGCACCTTCAAATTTTATCATGGTATATAATTTTGATGTAAAATGTTATGAGGATTATCTCAAAATTTATTTTTATATCTAATTATAACATTTTAATTTAAAAAAATGGTTAAAATCAAATAGATCTATAAACATATGAAAATCTTGAAAATGGATGGTGTAGATAATATGTTGCAAAATGCATTATTTATGAGACTTAAAATATTTTTTTTTTGTAGTTATATATCTCGCTGTCGAGATGATCAATCAAAGGGTTTTTCAACATTAAAACTACCTTTTTTGATAGATTTTTGATGTGCGTCCATAGTTCTATATTATAAGGTTGCATCCTTGTATAAATTTTTCCCATAACTAATTCACCCATAAAAACTCTACTAGACTAATATAATTGAGTCGATTAATTTAAATGCCTTGACTCTCATCCAATCATCTAATATCAAATACATAATTAACTAGTATATACCAAAAATGTACCATATAAACCTACCCGTGAAATATTTTTAAGAAACATCTCACCACCTACTTATTACATACTAAAAACAAATATACTAGATAAATTTATTTACTTTAACTATAATATGGTGACAAATATTCTACTTAAATTTATTAAATACTTAAAACATCACATGCTTAGGTGGTATCAAAAAAAATTTCACGATTTGTTTTTTCTCATTATAATAATTTAACAGTATGGTGACTATGATTAAAGTTTTATAAATTTCTTTAACTGAAAAGAGGCTCCTAGATATTTGGGTTTCACATCTCTGTGTTTACGGTTCAGAGCGAGAGAAGAAGGACAAAAGAAGAGGCTCATAGCCCCATTGGTTTATAGAGAGAGATGAAGTAGGGACAGTTCATCGGCTTTGGTTTATAGAGAGAGAAGAAGGAAGAAGGAAGAGTTCTTCGGCTTCACAACCCTAATGGAAGAGGCCCTAACTGATTTTTAGAGAGAGAAAAGGAAAGGAAGATGGGATGCTAATTTGGGATAGTTTGAAGAGGATTTTTCTCTCTGATTTGAGTTGTTGTTGTTTGAGAGAAAGCCCTAATTATACTGAGTTCTTGTTTGAGAGAAAGCCCTAGTTATACTAATTTGTGAAGAGGCCCTAACTGATTTTTTTATTTGTGAAGAGGCCCTGATTTTTACAGAGAGAAAAGGAAGAGGGTTTTTCATTTTGTTGGGGAAACAACAAGTTTGGGGTATTGCTTGCTCCTGTAAGTTTCCAGTTTACACTCTATTGTTTATCTTTGTTATCACATAATAAAAGACCTGTACTTACACTCTGCTTCTCATTCATCAGTAAAAGACTATGTTTGGAGCTCTAATTTGTGCCATAAACATTATTTTCATAAAAGCAATTATCACAAGCAATAACAGAAATCTGCATGTATATGATTTTCTTTACACAATGATTTACTTTACGAAATGATTTGCTATAAACGGTATTATTTCATGTACACAATGATTTTCCATAATAACAACTTTGTTTAAATTTTTTAAAAAAGGAAAAAATTCATATTTTCAATCTAAAACTGTGGCTTTGAAGAGCACTGTGGGGATACAAATTTCTGAAAGCATGAAAGTAGCAATGGCTGCAATACACAAAACAGGAAAAAAAAAAAAAAGGTTAAAAAAGGTAATGAAAAGTCGCGTTTTAAACGTTTTTATAAAAAGAACGCCATTTTTTCACGACCTTTTCAAAAGGTCGCTGTTTAAAACTGTTTCCATAAAAACGCCGAGTTTTTTAAAAGATCGCCGATTAAACGGAGATTTACTAACTATGGTTCATACTTCATACTAGGAGAATTCAGATAACCGTGCTTTTACTTCTAATAACGAGAACGTGGAAATCGTGAACCTGCTGCTCGCTCGTGGCTTGCCCTTATCTCTCCCTCTCAAAGCCCTGCGCCTGTCTCAAAGCCGTGCCTTTCATCTTCTTCAACAAGGTAAGGTTGTTTTTTTCTTGGCCGGTTTTCTTTTACTTTTTTTGCTGGTTTTTCTTCATCTTAGTGTAAAGATTCTTCACCAAACATGGTAGGGTTTCCCTCATACGAACCCTCAAACAAAATATATCATCTCATGATTTTCCTGGTTTTTTGCTCTAGATGGTGGTGCTGATTTTATTTTTATTTGAGAGAATTCTGAATCGGTGCTGATTTGTTAATTACCAATGCTATTATTTTTCCTATGATTTCCCCATGAAAATTTGTTGCTTTTTCTTTTTTTATCTTTGACTGATTTTATTGAGTAGGAGCACAAATTGCTCCATAGAAAACCGTTAACTTCCTTAAAAAAAAATGTGGGTGTGGGTTTTTTTGTTGTATGTTTTCATTTTCTCTCTCTTTATTTCTTGCTGAATATTGTAGCAGCATTATAATTTCAATGTATTTTGCTTGTCATTCGATGTTGATTGGAATGTTCTATCGTGAATTATTTGGTTTGTTGTTGTTGGACTTTGGTTCCTAAGAGGTTGTTGTTTAATTCTTTGTTTTGAATTTCTTTTTTATATTCTCTTGTTATATTGTTTTATTGTCTGTTGTATCTCTGTTACTACAATATTCTTATCTCATCGGTCGATGGTCTTACATCGATTTTGATGTGCTTTCTCTCTGTTAGTTATTGGTAATTTATATATGGCCTTAATTGTTTCAATACAATTTCTGGAAATTGTAGACTTTTCAATGTAATTATTTTACAATAAAAAGAGTATAAGGAACAAATCACATATGATTGGTATATCATTGACATGCCTATCTTGTAATCAATTGTATGGAGAAAAGTGTGAAAGATGAAGATAATTGACCATTTTAATTACTGAAATCTAAAGAATTGATTACCAAGGTATCAAAAAACGCTAGGCAGACCCTAGGCGGCTAGCCTGGTGCCCAGATCTTCAGGCGCCCTGTAGTGGAAAATCATCCATTTTTAGCCTTGTAGTAGAAAATCATAGCATTTTTTAAAATATTTGCTATCCTAATGTACATATATGCATATATTTGTGTCAAATTTTGTAATTTATTCCATTTCGCAACATACGTTTTACTTTGGGGGTTCAAAATAAGCCCCATAACTTTTTTATACAAACTTAGGGGTCAAAATGACCCATTCTTCCATTTTGGGCAAATTTAAAAAGCAATTCTGCCTGACTTCACTGGCTAGTTATACAAACTTGGGGGTCAAAATGACCCATTCTGCCCTTTTGGGCGAATTTAAAAAGCAATTTTTGCTTGACTTCACTGAGCACCTGCCTAGGTAAAAACGCCCGTTTCGGGCCCCTTTTCATGAGGCGTGCGATTTTTTGTTAAAAAACACTTAGGCGGGCGCCTAGGCACCTGGCGGACCCTTTTTTAAACAAAGTTGATCAGTGTTTTAAAATGCAGGATGCGGCCCTGATGCGGTGGGGGGCCGATGCGGCGATGCGGCCCGAATGCAAGTGCATCGCGATGATGCGGTCAATAATTGCAAAAACATTCAAAAAAATCTAAAAAAATAAGTTAATGCATAGGAAAAAATATGAAGGTGATATATGTGATAGTAGGTATTTTAGTTTAATGATTAACTTCAAAACTATTAGCTGTTGGAGATTCTGTATCCAGTTATCCACTATCCCCTGATAGAAACTAGAACTTGAAACTAGCTTCATAAAGTATTCAACAATAAAAAACCATCAGTACAAATTTGCACCATAAGCACAACTATAATTGAGCACAACCATCAACAACCATAAGTACAACCATAAGCACAAAATAATGATATTACAAAATACAAGTCAAAAGTCAAGCTCAAGAAGATTTAATAGTTACTAAATAATAACTTAATACAATCATCCACTTTGAGAGTCAATTTTGAAATTGGAACTTCATTTTTTCAAATATCAATCAGACAAATATCATCCTCGACGGCCTCCATGTATTCTTCTTCATCGGTCTCCTCTGAGTCAGCTTCCTCCTCAACCTCTGAAGCTAATGTGCGAGTGCGACGACCCAGCAGCTCCTCTACTCCTTTGTGCTTTAGTGTTAGGTCGATCTTCTTCATTAACCCCTGTTGCTAGCTCGACATCAAGCTATGTAAGATCCTCACCCTCAAACACACACTCTTGTCTTGAATCCACGGTCCACTCACTTATGGAATCACCATCAGCTCCATATAATTGAATAGGGTTGAGCTTCGTGCTCCAACCTATTTTTTTTTTTGTATGGAGCTGTGGTAGAAATTTGAAATCAGATAAATTAGTTTATAGATTAGAAAATTGAAATTCAAGAAATAAGGATTAAGGAATAAGGAGTAAAGGACTTACATGCTCAAATGCACTCCAATTGCGCTCACAACCAGATGAGCTACATGTGAGATTCAACACTCGAATAGCGAGACGTAGATTTGGTGTCTCGCTTTCATATAATGCCCACCATGCAGCTGTATAATATTTTGTAATTTGGAATATAGTTAAAAATTAAGGGTATAAAATAAACAATGGAATATACATAACGTAAGAGACAAGTAAGATTATTTTGGGCTTTTGGCCTTTACCTGGATCGGTAGTGTCCCTATTTCGAGTGGCAATATCTCTCCCAAAGTTTTCCAACGTTAGCTTGAACTTAATCAATTCATGGCTCTGGATCTCATCCTGTATATCTTTGTCTGGCACCAACCTCTCCAACACATCTATGAACCCACCATTTATTACACGATCTGACTCAATGGATGGGTGCTTGTAGTGATGAGATGGGTTTAGAAAATAACCGGCTGAATGGAGGTGCCTATGAAGCTGGGTATCCCATCTCCTATCAATAATTTCAAGTATAGCCTTGCGCATATTTTCATCATCCTTTAAAACATCTTTTATTTCAGTTCTTGCCCATTGCCTCATGTATGTAGCCCATGGCAGGCTTCGCATCACTATCAACCAATCGAAGCACTCTCACTAAAGGGCGAGCTACCTCCAATGCAATAATTATTTGACTCCAAAAAGAAGTATTCAGAATAATTTTTTCAGCCTTTCTCTCATCCTTATGCTTTGACTCCATTGCTCTGAAGCAAACATGGTCCTCAAGGCACTTTTTTGCTTGGCTAGGCGTCGAAGAGTGAGAAATGACGTGGCAAGTCTAGTGATACGGGCTCACTAATTCTCTCTTCTTTGTAAAAGACCTCATCATGCTTAGGACTATGGTGTGATTGTAAATAAATCCAACAACAAACATAGCTCTTGAAATCACCCCACTAAATAAAGATGTTGTACCCATTTCCTTAAGCATAAGATTAACACAGTGAGCTGCACAAGGTGTCCAAAACATATGCTTCCTTTTCAAAGTCAAGAAATACTCAGCTGTAGCATAGTTGGCACCATTGTTAGTGATAGTTTGTATCACATTTTGCTCCCCAACAAAATTGACAATCTCATCCATCAAGCCGGATAAATATATACCATCATGTGACTTGTCTGATGCATCAATAGACTTAACAAAAAAAGTACCTGTTGGGCAGTTAACCAAAAAATTAATGAATGCCCTTGATTTCCCATTGGACCAACCATCACACATAATAGTGGCCCCATATTTTTCCCACCATTCTCTCTGAGAAATCAAAATTTTATTCACATCAAATACATCATCTTTCAACAAGGGCTCCCTAACCTCTTGTAGTGAAGGAGGAATAAGTCCTGGGCCATATTGCCCAATTTCCTGGACCATACATGCAAAACTATCCAGAGTTTCATGATGCTTTCGTGAACAAATTTTACTTTTGTTGACCACAACTATTCTCTTGAGCCTGCTCTTATAATCTTTCCTATTATATTATATATGTGACATTTATGATGCGCAATGGCATAATTTACAATACTGTAAGGATGGTTTGAATTACTTGTTCCGAGACTCTAATGATTTGAATTACTTGTTCTGGACTCTTAAAGCTATGTCTGCAATTTAGGTAAGTGATGAACTCATTCAGGGTACGACTTCGCTGGTTCAAATTTAGATTGATAGTCTTGAGAGTGAATAGGTGATTTTGGGTAGTAGTGATTCCGTTATCTTGGTTTTCTTGCTTGCTTCTTTGACCTTTTGGAATCCTTTATGGGACTTTTATCATCAGTGGAAATACATCAAATCTTGCTCATGGAGTCGGGCTTTCGGATGAAAGTGCTTGCAGGCTTAATACACACGCCTTTAAGCTTAAGTATAAGGTCTGTGCCACCAGTAATTGAGATTGCTAGGACCACAATATATTTGGCATAGCCCCAAAAGCTTTTAATGGTTAGTGTTGTGTGAGGACCAACTGATAGTGTGGTCCCATCGTTAGTGTTGTGCGAGGACCAACTGATAGATGGATTGGTTTATATGATGAGCAGAAATTGTGAATGTTTGGAAGCAAATGCTTTCCTTCGATTCTTTTAATTAGTATTGTTGTCAAAATTGAGACATTTCATTAAATATTTCGAATTTGCTAGAAACCATTTTTTATGTGATAATATATGTGGAACAATATATTTGAATGGGCATGCTGAACTTATTTGGAATGATTCTTGGTAATAATGACAGTTGCCATTGTCGTTAGATGCCTGGAAACCTTTATTTTCTTTTCAATGCATTTGTAGTCATGGCTTATACCTTATATCATGCCTCACCATTATTTTGTTTAATGTTATTGGATGGTCTACCTTCAAAGTTATTGTTGGTAGATTGCAAACTTCAATTACTTGATTGATAAATGTCATAAGCTACATGTGTTTAGTTTAGACAACATGCCTTGCTACTTGTTAGCATTATCAACAACACTAATCTTTGCAAGAGATTCTTGACTACATTCCCTACTAGCTGTTAGCATTATATATGATTTTTTGTGAGTCAAAATGGATTTTTCCTATGAAAGGAAAAGTGAAATTTTAGTTGAAAAAGCAAAAAAATATTTTAAGGTGAGAATTCATAGGTAATTTTGAGTCATAGAATTATCAACAACTCTAATTCATCTTAAGTTTTTCTGGTGTAATTTTTTGTGTACTGCATCTCTATTTTTTGTGTTCTGCACTGCTCTCTCACTCTCACTCTCACTCTTTCTCTCTCTCTCTCATCACATTATTTGTAGTGGTGGTGGACTCATAGTAATGGCAAAAGATTTTAGGAAATTGCATTTTAAATTGTTAGTGGAAGCTCTGTGGTGACATGAATGTGGGGATCATGGGAGGCATTGTAGCCCCATTTTGGTTATAAGGATCTTGGTGGTTCCTAATAGATAAAAGAAAACTATTGTGAAAGAAAGCAGAAGAATAAATGTGGAAAAGCAGAAGATCAGTATCTGTATTCAAAATAGAGAATGTTTTTGGGTGAACTGTTAGAAAAAAGAGTGGAGTATTATGCATAGTAGATTTTAATTCCCAAAGTTGACTCCTCCATTTAAGGTTCATAGCTCTTTAGGGACTACATTATTTTTGGGTAGTAAGGTGGTTTGAGTATTGTGTTTACAGTACACTAGTCGAGAGCCCTGGCGCCTATTTGTTGTTAGGATGCTTCTTCAGGCTTGTTTCTCTTCTATTTCAGTTTTTGGCTTTTTGCTTCTTTTTCTAAACCTTGTTCCTTCTATCATGATGGTGACTCAAATATTTTATCCTTTGAGTTTTTTGTAGTTTCTGAAAGCATTTAAAAACATCATTGTTATCCAGTCAAAACCCATAACCATGCTTGGTTAAATAAGGTATAACTGTTTTACAAGAAGAGTTTTGCAGCATTGACAAAGCGGGGGTAATGCACTTAGGTTTACCTTTCAAGTGTTTTTTTTTTTTCTTTCTTGTAAACATTAAGGATTTCATGGAGAGAATGAAAGAAGTACATATACGGAGAAGCAAAACAGAAATAGAAGAAGATAGAGAAAAGACCAAACAGAAGGAGAGAAGGTGGAATATAAGGATAGGGATAGGGGGGGGGGAGGGTAAGGAAATAGGTAGAGAGGATGATAGAGGGGGAGAGTGAGGGATGCGTTCTTTCTACTGATTGGTTTATATTTTGTTTTTCAGTTTCTTTGCTTTACCATCTTATTTTCTCGATCTCACTTTATTTCTCTGCAGCATGAGGACTTATTTGTCTTTTCTTTTGCGTCCTAACTGCTCTCTCTTAATATTTCTCCATAGGCTGTAAGCATGCCAGATTTATCTAAATTTGTACATGTCGACCTCTAAGATCGAAGCGTAGATGATTATTATTATTATTATTATTATTTTTGAATATCAACTCGGGAGCTGGCAGGAATGAAACTCAAGACTTCATGCAGTAGCATCTTGCCAACCATAACGACATATGCCTTGAACTTGGTTGTTGTACCTTGATGATTGTCATTTGTCAAGCTTTATGCACTCTTCAATCTGTTATCTGTTTTGCTGTTTGGTGATTAACTTTCCTTGGCTATGGTCAATGAGGTCTTGGTTTTTGTAAAAACTGCACTGGTGTGGCTTGCAGGTAAATCCATGTGAACTCTCTATGCTTAATACAATGAGAATTGTTTCAAGAAAGTATATCTGTGATGTGTTTCTACGAACTCTCAAATCATGTCTTGATTGATAGAGCACATTATAAGGCTGTTCTGAGGTCAGGGTAGAATTGCAACGGTCTTGTGATAAATGAAGAGAACTTTTGAAAACTTAAAAGGGGGTTGTGTTTTGGTTTCTAATGGTCGCACATGTCAATCTTTTGGCATAAACAAAGTGGAAATTATGTCTGGAATGCCAGATTTAGGCGATGTCTCAGCCCTTACGGTTTTCTTTTATGGGGTTTACCAATGCAAGTGGTAAAGAAACAAGAGATTCAGATCGGATGCCGGGTTGTGCATATAATTCTTTAACGTGTGTCTCTAATTTGCAAGCTATGTTCTTCGGATTGTAGTAGTGCTCTTGCCCTTCATCATTGCCTAATCTGATATAAGTTTAGATATTTTTGAATCAGTTGATAATCTTTTCAAGCTTAGAGCTTCCTAAATTAGTTGAAATTTTTAAAGTTCTCAGTTTCTCCCAAGCCTTGTGAGTTGTGTCAAACTCTCAAAAAGGTGTTGTGATTTCATCCATTATGAGGTACCCACTGCTTCATGTCTTAAACAGTTAATCACATAGGAAGTAGGGGTGGTTGGAACTAAGCAAAGAGCTAGGAAGGCTTAGGATTTCTAGGACTGAAAATAGCATATTGAAACCAGTGGCTCATTAGGAAGAGAAAATGCTATCTCCTGAATGAAATGTCTTCTATAATCAAGAAGGAATACAGGGGTTCCATGAGCAATTCATCCTGAGGTACTGTTGGTTTAGAAGCAAGGCAGGGTTGCTGGTGCCGGTGTAAAGACAACGCAGTGGCTGTAGATGCTGATGGTTAAAAGAGACACGTAATTGAAGAATAGAATAGACACATGGGTTAGATCTCAATTTCGATTGGGGAAGTTTTTAACTATCGTACTCATTTACAGCAATCACACACTTGGTGAACAAGTCGAAGCTGTGCTTTGGATATGGCTTTCTTTTGAAAGTGACTTCAACAGATAGATGGGGTTGCAGCTCACACCTTGACTTCCTAGGCTTGGTATCCACAAAAAAAGAGGAACTTTGGCTACCTTTGGTTTTCTTTGGTGCGGTAAACAGGCACGCAATGTGTTGTTTCTGTGGTATATGAAGGCATTGAGCCTGGGCTACATATGAATTTATCAATTTTTGAACTCTTTAATGATTTGAAATAATATCTCCCTTATTCAACTAATCCACCATGGCTGCAAGCTGATAGAAGTGAAATGAATGTAGTTTCATTGGTTTTCAAATCTTGTTGTATATGGGATGATTGTATTCTTGCTGTGTTCATGATGCTTATCTATTTTTCTTCTTTGAATAGTTTTAGAAAAACAGTGGTATATAACTGTCAAAAGTGTATATAACCAACATATATAACAGTGTTACACAACTGATAAAAGTGTATGTAACCAGCATATTACAGTGGTATATAACAGTAACCCAACTGCTAACAGTTGCCCCCAAATTGTTTGCACTTCTTCTCTGATATACAATCTACTGCTCTACCAAATTTGGGAGCATTTTGACTCTACAATTGAAAGTAATAAGCTTCCAATATTGGCTTAGTTGTACATTTTGAAAGTTTCTACATGAGCATATTAAAAAATGTTTTGTGGTTTATCAAACCATCCATGAGAATGAAAGTCAGTGGGTGAATACATAGGCATGTTGTATTCTAGAGCAAGATCGCCAAATACCCAATTGCATTGAATAATTTACTAATTAATTTGGTGACTTTTTCTTCCCACCTTCCAGTTAAGGTCTCCATTCCCGGTTTACATCTTGTATTTATCAAACTGCTTGATTTCCAGTTTTTCTAAAATATGTCAGTTGGACATATTATAGCTCAATTTGCAATTTTGTGCGGCACAGTGATGATTTGGTTTTGACTGGGTACTTAAGTTCTGTAATATAGGTTATCTATGTGGTTCTTTTTCTTGGCTTGGTTTATGTGGTTCATGTTTGCTGCCTATATTTGATGTCATGAAAATAAGGTTTGGGTTTAATTGCGAAGAAGTTTATTGTACAAGGATGAGAGAGAGAGAGAGAGAGAGAGATCATTCAAATCCGAGACCTATGTGAGAGAGACGTTTCATTCAAATCCAAAGCAACAATGGAAGAGAGAAACTTATAATTCAAAATCCAACTTAGAGCTGAATCGCCCCAAAGGACCCTTATCAAAATCCAATTAAGTTTTTTTTTTTTAAATATTATGTATCAATAAGTACCTATCTTTAAAAGGTATTTTAGAAAGAGAACCCTTTTTTCGACAGATTTGAATGAAACTTCTCTAAAATTAAATGTAGAGTAATAATACAAAAACTGCAACTGAATTTCCATGGATTGACATCTTCCAGGCAATTCAAACAGTGGACAGGACTGTCCATGTTTCTTCTCAGGTGCCATCCAAACAACTGACAGCAGTATCCCAAGGACAGACCAATTCCAGTATAAGCCTATCCCCAAGACAGGCTTCTTCAGGTACCCAAACGAGCCCTAAGGGAATCGCCGCAAAAAGCTAACAAGAATAATGCAATACATCTACAATAGTCTCTGAGAGATCATATTAGTCCCTCAGGCAGAGAGAACTCCCACTCTTACCTTCGAACCCTAGAGAGAGGGAAAGAGAGAGAGAAGAGAGAGAGAGCCCAGGGTGGGAGAGCCATGGCAGCCTACTTGCAGAGAAGGTTCAATAACCCTTGCAAACTGAAACCCTTATTCTCTATCTACGCCCTTCGTTTCAAGAGCAATAGGGCATCGGAGCATGAGCACTTGGAGCCATCACCATTTCTAGCCAGCTGGTCTTCCCCAAAAGACCCTCGAGTTGCAGAGAAGAAGCTCACACAACTTAGAAGAGACTATGCGAAATCCATGAGAGAGGTGAGGAGAGAGTATCGCTTCGAGGTTGAGGCTCAAATGGAGGAGAAGAGGCGCAAAGATGAAGCCAAACGTGAAGTGCTGCGTCTGGCTAAAGAGGATCGGAAGGCTGAAAAGGCTCGCCTATCACAAGAAAGAGCGGCAGAGCGGCAAAAATTTGAACAGGAGTTTCGAGAAACCTTGGTATTATTTCATGACTTCGTTTATAAAATGCTTTTGTTTTGTGGCTTTGTCCTTTGTTTTTGCCATGGTGAGTGGGGTTATGTTGCAGTTTGAATGATAGAAATTGGCTGAAGCTTACAAGATTTAGGGGAGCTTTAGGTTTATCACGGGGTTTGTTTAGTAATTGCTTATTCATATATTTTATGAGGTTTTTGTCATGGTAATTGGGTTTTGTTGTAGTTTGATGATGAAAACTGATGTAACTTTTTTTTTTTAAAAAAAAAATTGTATATTCTAACAATCTGTAAAAATGCTACGGTTTATAGGCAATCGAGTATTATGACAAGCATCTGTTGGTTAAATGATTATCTGTGGATCTTTGCTATGGTTTTTGTCGTGTTTCATTAGAGTTTTTAGTTGAAGTTTGAGATTAGAAACTGATATCTTTATGCAATATCAGAAACGACCATTAACATGTGTTTTTGTTTTTGGGAAATCTATTAAAAAACACCTAAAATTTGATCTGCTTAACATTTTATACTAGTATTTTGATAACTTCAAAACCCATTTTGATGTGTCATTTGATGGGGTATTTGAAATTTGATCTAAAGAACAATAGACTCTTTGGGATTCGATAAATAAAATGTTTAAAATAGTTCAAATCTTAGTTGTAGTTTGATAGATTTCCCTTTTTTTGTTTAATGCTTTCTGCATTATGTTAGTGTCTACCGTCGTGTCTACCGTCGCAATGATTCTCATATTGTGCAGTTTATTGGCTATTGATATCTCTAAGCATGTGCTGAAACTGCATTATGCAAGATGATTAGGATTTTTCTTCGCGGCATTTTCTCATTTCTTGATGTTCTTTTCCATGTTTTTTGTCTTGATTATTATATTTGCAGCTTTTTTATAGAAACAAATATGTTTAAGCAATCTCCAGTGGTGCTATGAAGACAGTGAAATAGGTTCCTTTTTTTCATGTTCTTTGCTATAGTGGTTAGGTAATTATAAGGGTTTGAAATTCATATCTTGAAACGAATTCTACACAATCTTGAAGATAAGAACCAGAAATTTGAGATTGTGTGTCCATATTTCATTAGCTTGTATTTAGTTTTATTTCAAATTTTCAAGTTAGGAACTAAGGATTTCCAATAAACCATGGCACTACCATGCACTTCCAGTGACTAGTGTTTCCTTTTACTTTTGGAAAATAGTTTCATGCATCGTGTCCCACATTTCTACATTTTCTCCTATGCATTATAAAGCAGCCATTTTAAAGATGGATGCAAATGGGTGGTCCATCTAAAAACAATTGAAACTAACGGTCCAAATGTTTTCTCCATAAAATTATTATTTCGATTTTTTTGAAATTTATTTATTTTTTCTTATTCATGATCTCCATTTTAGAGATTACATGTCCTTAAAAATTGGGTCCAAAAATGCATCTCAAAAATAGATTTTTAAGAGTCGACTCATTTCTACATGGACTCATAGAAACCGTGCCTTTTACTTTTTACTTTAGTTTCAATGATTAGGGTTTGTACAGTATGATGGAAACTTATACATTAAGCAAAGCTCTGACCAATTGGCGATGCTATCTATGTACATGACTTTGAACATCTGAATTAACCATGGCATGGATCTAGGCTATTCTATTTTACAAACTGGAGATTCGTTTGATTAATAAGAAAAAGAGCACACACGTGCCTATATCTTTTCCTTGAGAAAATCTTAGACCCTGTTTGGGCTGACCAAATTGCCTTTTTCTCCTCTCTAGCCATTTAGGAATAAAATCAGCCTGCTTGCCACTCCTATATGCATGGGTGACGAAATTTTGAAACCCAGTTTGTCAAAACACCCACATCACTACAATGGAAAAAAAAAAAAGAAGAAAAAAAGAAAAAAGGTTTTTCTTGATTAAGAAATAACTTCATCCCTTCAATAGACCTATCGTCCTGGGTTCTAGAAGGCATTACAAGGTTAGTTCTACTAAATATTTGGTAACGAGTAACTTATTGGAAGAACCAAAATAAACATGTCTTTTAAACGTTTAAACCTACAGCGATCAGTTTTGGCCTCATTCTTTTGCCATGATGATTAGGGTTTTTGTCGCATTTTGAAGCAATTGATACCTTTAGGTAATCTATTCTAGAGTAGAATCAGGTAATGAAAGTTGTTAGTCAATGTTTCCTGTTATGATGATTAGATTCTGTTATTGTTTGATGAACCCCTGTTCTCTAATACTATCTAAAATGTTTTCCATCATGTTGAAGGAGCAAGGGAGTAACGGCTCTAAATCCATATGTAAATAGCCTGGATAACAGTTATTTCTGTTTCTGAATCAAGGAAGCAAAGAATTCTGAGAGATACCCTAGTATTACCACATTCTCCCATCGATTAACTTCCTCCTATACTTCTTCTGAGGTTTTCTATTATGATGATTAGGGATGTTTCCCAATTTTAATGAAACTTTATAGCTCTAAGCAGCCTCTGTGTGCATGCGCATGTGGTGATACGCAGACGAGACCTACAAATGTTGTAGATTTCTTAGATAGTTGACTCACTAATTTGTTTAAAGAAGTTTTTGGAGCTTTGAATTATAAAAGTTGTGAAAACACCTCGAATGTGACAACTTAGACAAATAGGCTGGCAGGTAAGATCAGGCACCCAACTTAACCTTCAATTCTATCTACGACTGAATTACAGATTTGAGCCTAGGCCTCTCTTTCCCTGAAAACACTCCATTTATTTCTTGCATTTAGTAATCCATTAGTGCAGTTGTGATGAAGAACTTTAGGATAATTGGCTGGATTTTTAATCTTCTCTTTTTTTTAACGGATAATTGGTTTTTTCTCTTTTAAGCTCAGTTGGTCCATTATGAATTTCTGACACTCTCCCCTTATTTTTTTGATTCCCATACTCTTTAGTCCTTTGCATTTGTTGTTATGCTCTCTATCATCTTCCCATGAAGGTGTTGTCTAGACAGAATTGCAGGGTGTTCTCTGGAATGTAGTTGTCCGTGAAGATCCTAATTTTTGGTGGGTTTTTTGTGTTCTGCTTAAGGCTGGTCTGAAGCATGGTTGCAGTGGTGTGGTTTAGTGTCTCTTAGAGATATGTTTTGTACGGGTTCTAGAGGGAAGCTTTGTTTATTTAATGGTCAGGACTTAGATGATGTATCACTTCAGCTGCTGCTCTCATCTTTAATCTATATATTGCCTCTACAAAACGACTTTTTCCAAAAGGAAACAGTTACGAAGAGACGAAGAATTTTCGTAGTAGCCTCTAATGCAGTCGAAATCGAGCTAAGATTATTTGGACCGATCAAATCGAGATTTAAAGAAGAAGAACTAGATTATCATTTTTTTTAAATCTTTATTCTCTCTTCTTTTTTTTTTTTTTAGCAAGTCTTTACTAAGTATGTTCTTTTAGGAAGGATAAGTTGGTTTTTAGAAGGAGCCGTTTTTTCACTCTGAATGAGTTGTTTGTATGAAGCATTAATATGAGGATGTGAGATAGGGAGTAATCTAAGAGGAAAAAGGGGTTTGTTTTTCTTAGGGAAATCTTTTAGGATGTTTAATAAGGAGATTTTTTTTTTTTTAAACGAGGAAGTTTATATGTAGTCGGGGGTGTGGTGGAATAAGAAGCTTATCTTTATAGAAAGATAATGGGATATGGGTTTTAAATAGAGGATCTTTTAAAAGAAGAAGGGACGTCTCATTGTAATTTGGTGATTTTTTTTTATTTTGGTGAATGTAGAAAACAATTGACATCGAGAGAGAGGCTTTGCTCTCTTGGTTTTCTCTATGTTTTGTTACGGGTGCAAGGCAAGAGGCCTCGACTTTCTATGATTGGGCCTGCTTCTTGCAATCCCTTCTTAGTTGTTTGTTTCTCTCTAAAATGTGGTTGTATTTGCTGGTTGTTAGCTGCTGGTGATTTTCAACTGCATTAGTTGGTATTAGAGCTCAAATCTTATGGAGTCGTGGTGTTGTTTGAAAGGGCATTTTGGCTCGTGGACGTGTTCAATGGCTGGGTATCGGGAACGAGCCCATCTAGCGAGAACGAGACCTTCGAGACATCGAGATAGAAGACTTGAAAAGGCATGTTGAGGAGTTGATCCAGCGCTTGATGCAAAACTCGGCCCCGACACACTATGATGACGATAGTAAGTCGGAAGTTGCTTGCGAGAACCCATACTATGAGCACGCTTCGCATCAAGAGCCTCATGTTCAGGAGAGTAGATCATGGGATTTTGGCATTAAAGGCGATTTAGCTGAGTTCGGGAGATGATTATAGGCGGGAGAATTTATTGATTGCATTGAGATTATAGAACGTATCTTTGAATACAAGGATGTGCCCAATGATGATAAGGTCAAGCTCGTGGCCATTAAGCTCAAGGGTCATGCATCTGCATAGTGGGAGCAATTGAAAAGGTCTTCGGAAAGACAACGGAAATCAAAGATCACCGATTTAGGAAAATATGAAAAAATTAATACTCTTGCCCTTTAACTCCACCCAAACGTTATCTCAACACCTTCATACCGTTCGGCAAACGGAGTGGTCTGTTGATAATTATACTAAGGAATTCCATCAGCTAGTTGCGCAAAACAACTTGTCCAAGATTGCAGAGCAATTGGTGTCGCAATAAGGACTTTGATACATAGGGGGACTGCATCAAACATTGTCCTTACCCTACATTTGCTATGGACAATTTTGGAAGCCTATCAGTGTGCCCTAATGGTGGAAAAACAACAGCCTAGGGGCAAGACTAGCGCAGCCATGAGGGGAGATTCAGGTCTGTGTATGGACTGATTTCAGGACCGTGGTGCAAGGCCTGAAGCTGCACCTTCTAGAGGCCGCAAGGATGCTGCTGCAACATCTATTAGTCGCTCAAATATTGTTGCACCAGGTGCTGGAGTTCAAGGCAACAACTCAACTCTCTGTTGTGGGGAGACGGGTCACAAGGCCGGGGATTGTAGGAAGTCCACTAGTCGTTCTGACAAAGGCAAGCAACTCATGATTTG